TGCCTGCCTTCCCCTTCTCACCTAGAATTAGTGATTGCCATGTTTTGCAACTCTATACTACAATTGTGCTTATGTTGATCCCTAAAACGAAATAGCAAAAGCTAGTTACAATGTCATACAGCTTGGTCAGTAGCATGGTTGGTGTGCATTATGATGAGCGAGACGCAAGCAATGACTTAAATTTCCAGAACAGAAAGAAGAGCCCGAAAACGTTCGAAAAGCTGGATGGCACAGACACTCAACATAAAGGGCGATACGAGACATCAAACCTGCTGGAGGTCCTTGTAGGGCTTGAAATCGGCCCAAAAGTCGCTGACTAGAGGGCTGTTCTCAACTTGATAAATCCGTATATAATGATGCCCGCGACTGAAGTTGGTAGTCAGTCCTGGTTGCTGAGCTGGAGAGGAAGCCATGGTGCATATATTGTAGATGGGAACTTGAGCAATGCAATCCGTCCCACTTCTGCCAAGATCGAAAAATCAGAAAATTCCAGGGAATCAGGTGTGGGAGGATTTGAGAAGAAATTTTTGGATAATCTTGCCACATGCGATCGGGGAACCTGTGAGGTTTGGAGCTTGGTAGAACTATTTTGAATCATTACTAGTAAAGGCCTTTTCAGTACCTACAATCAATTGCGTTAGGTCCCCACCTTTTTCAGGAGCGTGGCGTCCGTAATTCAATCAATAGGATACTAGCAAATTAAGGACGTGGAAGTCAACTATGGCAGAGCTACGGAGTACATAAATAGGGCTACATCAATTAGGGTCCAATTACCACGTGATTGTCAAGCCCAGAGAACAGCAGTTCCTTCCTTCCGTGTAGTGGGTCCTTTCTTCTTGGCGAATCCTTCGAGCTGTATATCCTTACAACCTCTTTCCTTATGAGGCCTTGTTCTCCTTCCTTCTGAGGTCTTGCTTATTGTTTTGTTTGTTTTTTTTCCCTTTTCTGTCTCTTTAAGAAGAAGGATTCCCTTATTTTTCTTTTTCTTTTGTTTTTAGGAAGAAGATAGCGGTAACTAGTATCAAGAAGCTAGCCATAAGATTGTTCAATTTTGCCCTTAATCCTTAACTATTCCATCCTAAGCTAATCCTTAAGACTTGCGAAGCCTGGAGGGCTTACGTAAAGATCCCTTACGAGCCGTGAGGCTCGTTCTGTTTCTAGCCCAGGGGAATGATGAAGATTCGAAAATACTGGTACGACTTGGAGAATTTCTTCCACAGAGACGCAGCAGCGCATCAAACAGGTAGCTTCGTACCCCTCGGTTTGCATCATGCATTGAAATTGCCCAAGGAAGTTTGGGAAACAACAAGCATGCTGGAATATATCCAGGAGACTACATGTGGCTGCATCTGTAATTTGGTTATTGCCTCATATTATGACCTCTTTAAATAACGTAAGTAAATCATGAGGTTTCTCTACTTTCTACCCATGAACTAATTAATAATTTAGCTAAACAATTCGTCTACTTCGTGGTCCTTAAGTGAACTGATCGGAAAGATCCGATTCAACTACTGTGCTTTCGGCTCTATATATTCGTAACATAAGAAACTCCCGTGAATGTTCATGACATCCGCAATGATCTTATTTTCCATAATTCCAAACATGAATAGAACGTGATTTAGCGTGGTGATATCTCCTGGGTCACCAGGCATTGCTCCAGGTTGCCTACCACCGCCAGTTTTTTTTTTTTTTAACAGTCAGTTTTCCCATAATCCCATTTAACAAAATGGAAGGAAGTACTTACGGATATTCCGGTGGAGGGGGCCGGAATCCAGAATCCTTACGCATCAGATTAGTGCCACCCATCTCAGACAATCGTGCCGGAAGGTCTTTGGACTGCCAATCCCACCACAGCTTGTCGATCCAGGCATGATGAAGATAGAAGAGCGGGTCACCCGGGCTGGATCCACCTCTGGCCATCTGATGACATTTTTTTGTCCTATTAGATTCATCTCGCACAAGATCTTCCAAATCGGGGTGGTGAAACCCACCTGGCCCCCAACACCATTGTGGCCTCCAGCATGAGGGTTCCCTTCGATGCACTGCCATGTCGAAATCCAGTCAGGTCGAGAGATACAGTAATCCACCTGATTCCGGGACGTGAATGAGCTGACGTCGTCGTCGAATTTTCGGTCAATGCACTGAGTTGTAAGTTCATAGCCGGGTCCAAACGGACTTGTATAGTTTGCGAATGGGCCGTCTGTGATACACCCCCCTTCCTCGTCGGACCCATTGCCACCAAAACCATAGATGGGGTCAAAAACATCGGATGAGGAAAACCTCCCTGCATCCTTTTGTTCATACCAAAAACTAGAAGCTCATGTTGCGGGGATGTGTTAGAGGAGAGAGAATATGGGGTTATTAGACCAAAGCCCTTATGGGCATGTTTTCGGATGGACACGCACAAATGGATCAGAACTCACGGTTGATAGCCTTTATAACCACATTCTTCTCGAAGCGCAGTCTCATGAGCAAATGTCATCAAACGATGGAAGGGAAGAAATGCGCCCTAAGCGATATGTCAAGAATTAGCCATCGGTTTCGAACGACAGTGTATCAACGCTTAGTGGAGTAGGTGTAACATACGACAGAATGTGTCATATATGCCCCGTGCACATGGAGAGCTTGAAAATCATCAAACCGTGTTATTACGCCTTCCATGCTAGTCTTCGCCGGTAATTTCATCAAACATAGTTCGGCATTGATATATGCTAGTTTGTCATCGTTGCTCAAAGTGTGCCTGAAGTTTTATTAGCAATTAATTCCCATAGATATAAAAACAAAACAAAAAAGGGGCGTAGAGTACGCTGTTCGTCCAGTTAAAGGAGAAGAATTTGCGTACCATGCTTTGCGTTGCGCGGGCGTAGTACATTGCGCAGAAACAACTGAGCATACCACAGGCAAGAAAAGAATGGCTCTGAAGAGCCAAACCATACTGAGCCTTATGCGATTGGCCTTGAGTATGAAGTTATCTTGACATTGGAGGCGTAGGTAACAGGGGGGAATATAAAGAATGAAATAAGAATGGGAAAAAAATGTAGAAACTAGATAACGGAACGAACGACCTGATATTCTATTGCGATGTAAAGCATCCGGAGAAGCTACCTCCGTCCACCCACTGCTGCTAGCAAATGCTATGCAACCCAACATTTTCACACAAGCCAACATAACAATTGGTCCGGGAGACCACATATTTGATGTGTAGCATGCAACCACCAAGGAGTCGGTAATTGTTAGCAAACAGAGCATAGGTCGTAGGAAAACTACTGGACACTGCTCGAGAACCGCAAGTAGCAGTAGGGCCTTTTGGCGCGCTGAAATCAATTTGGTTGCTGATCCACGCCTGTCTCTTGACAACTTGAAACCGTTGATGGGATCGACATTGTTTCATGATATTTATATTTTGGTTGATGTTCATTGAAACCAAAGACTTGTTAATATCAACTGTACTCGCCAAAATGTCAAGGCCAGCAATGAATAGTAATTCCCAGCTAGAATCCCTAAGCAGAGATTCATCTTGCTGTTGCAGTCCAATCTGTGAGGTGGACTGTAGACATACACTTCAAATCTTCATCAGCCTGTTTTCCACGAATATTCGTTTCCTGCAGGGGTAGTAAATAAAAGCTTATTTCGATTCTCTGCAAAGCTAAGTAGGACTTCCCAGGATAAATAATTACATGTGTTGGGGGTTGCCGCGTTGTGTTGGCTGATGAACTAACCTTTGCTCCTGCACATTCTTGAAAACAGCTCTTTATTTGTTTTTGTCCTTTTTTTTCTTTCTTTCTTTCTCTGAATCTTCATCGCACAATTAGCCGCCCAGTACTAGTATTGTCAAGAAGGAAATTCCGAAAATCTCACCTCTCACGACAGCATACAGCTGTAGCCACCCTTCATCCATACATCTTATTGCGCGGACGTATTCAGCGACTTGAATGGATGGGTATCTACCAATCTCCCACGGTGATTGTCCTGTACTTCGTGCGATGAGAAAAGGTCAACAACCAGCTGTCCAATCCAGATATATCAATGTGGATTAATCCAGTATGTATGTACGAGGCATGCACTGTGCATGTACCAGTCTGCCTGAGTCTATCGGCATTTTCGTACATTTCTTTGCTCAACCAATTCCCTTCAAATGGATCACTTGACGGGTCATATGTCGATGCCAGGAATGCATGCAGTTGAGCCAGTATCGGAAGGGCTTATGGACGAGAGCGCTGGGTTGACATCTCCATATGAAGCAAAGCTGTGTAGGAGCCCTACACGCCGCCCTCCCGCCGTTAACCGCCAGAAATATCCATCAAATCTAAAAGAATAAAGGTGCTGTGGTATGATCTGTGCCAGTAAAGCGGTGTATATATACCTAGATACAGGTGTGCTGTGCTCTTCGTAGGTATTTAAATGGAACGCATATCCCTGCCCACATCCAAATCCCAGATCCCTTGACAAGAATTTTATCCCTATTGCCATGAGCTGCCACGATTCTTCGCTCTTGGCTCCGTTCTAGCGTCAGACAGGCGCGAATCCCATGCAGCCATGTTGTCATGTTCAGCCCAAACTCAATCGCTGCGGCTTCCAGACAATCAAGACGCTATGCTTTCCTGCCATTTTGAAGGGAGGGTGCCTTGTTCTTTGGGGTTCGTCGTTTCTCCTTTACAGTTTCTTTCCTCTGCGCTTCCTTGCCGAGAAGGGAATATGGAACTGACTCACTCTGTAGTTTTCTGCACTTAGCCTTGCAAGCCAAGCAAATCCAAGCAATTGTTTTGCCAATGCTCTCGTGTAGAGTGAGGAGATTACGGATGAAACCCCCCGCAGTTTCGACTACTAAATCGAATGTCCAATGTCATCATCACATTCGTCTGCCGAGCGCTGAATCGGACATGGATCAAATCTTTCAAAGTCCGAAAGCAAATGAGATTATTGATTACTGCTTTGCTATTCTTGTCCTGACCACCCTTACCTGGAGATTTGGCCCCCCACAGAACTTTCGTCATTCCGAGCTTTCACGACTCATTGGAATATTTCAGCTGATCTCCATTAGCCTCATGAGATGACCGGCCTGGAATCTCATATAGAGCCAGAGGTGCCCACTTCGAGATTGCCACTAG